TATCGTCAGCGTCATTGAATTTAACACTCATTTCTCTTTAATTTTATCTCCAAAGTTGATTTAGAATTTCTTAAAATGTTGTTGATAAGAATGAAATTTTGATTGTCTGTAATTTTCCAAAAAGAAAAAGGTTATTGTTTTAATTGCAAAAACAGAGTTTAAAAGGAGGACATAAAAATGAATATTTTTTATAATTTTATTTATTTGTAGGATCCATGATTACATGACATTAAAATAAATAAATTTTACAATTTTATCTATTTGTGGAGTCCATGATTACATGGCATAAAAAATAATTTAATTTGTCATGTCAAATTTGTTTTAATGATAAAAGTAGTTTAATGATTTTTGAAGATAAAAGTGTAAAATTGAGTGATTTTAGTGAAACAAAACAAAGTTCAGTGACTTTACTAGATAATTTTTCATAGTTATTCACTCCAAGCTTCTGTCACTTTTTCCCCACCCCCCACCCCTCCCCTCCCCTCCCCATTTCCTTTACTCTTTTTACCCTCCTTGTATGTTCTTCCCCACTCGATTCCCCGTTTCTCTTTCCCCCCCTTTCAACGCTCTCAAATTTCCTTTTCTCTTTCCTCTTTTTTACATTCCTTCTCTTCAAATTAGTAACGAATTGGCGGAAGCAAAATATTAAGGGCTCGAAAAATAAAAATATATTCCCTCTGTTTGATAATAGTTGATCACTATTGACTTGACACACCCCTTAAGAAATAATAAATAATAGGAGTAATATTACTAATTTATCCTTTGACTTTATAAAATTTAATGTTTTAAAAAATGTGTTAGATGAAAAATAGTAATTAATAGCAAGGTTAAATAGACATAAAAGGTAAGTTATCTCTTGATTTTCTAAATTGGACAAATATTGTTAGAAAACTATTTTTAGTATAATGGACAACTATTGTTGGTCGGATGAAGTAGTTGTGTGAACAAGAGTGCAAAATACAAATTCCAAAGAATTAAATATTAAAAAATTAGGTAGCTTGCGCACCCAACAAGAATTGAACCTACAAATTAGGGATGACATTCTCAGCCCAAGCTGTACAATACCACTAGACTATCTCTTCTTTGATTGAAGTGGTTCAAAGTTTGTATATATACAAAAAAAAAAAATTAAAATACCCACCCTATATACATTGTATATTTTTACCGAGAGGGTCCCTAACACCCACGTAGGTCCGTCCCTGCCCATAAGGTGACAAAGATTCAATAATCTGGATAGTTACAACTCATAAGGTGATAAAGGTTCAATAATTTTGAAGGGTAAAAAGTGATTATTGAATGTTTTTGTGAAATTATGTAAAGTGTGTTATGTAAAATTGTGTACAAATATTACCGTTTATTGAGATATTTTGATGGTCATTAGTTTTTCTCAATGGGGAAAAGAGCTTTACAGAGATTCAAGGTGTGGAGGTAGACGCTGGTAATAAAAAATACGCTTAAAAGTTGTGAATGGTAAAAAATTTGAGAAGAAATTGAATGATAATTTTTACTTATTTAGAATAGTTTGTTTGTTTATTTTTTAAATAATAAGTGATGTGTCATTTAAAATTTGATGTGTTGTTTTTATTGCGTGTTTTGAAGTTACTCAAAGTCAAAGAGTTTTGAAATGGTGAGTTTCATTGTGTTTAAGGGTTCAGTTAACTAAAGGTTTAAGTAGAAGAATCCATAATACAAATCATACAAGTACAAGGGTCCATCAAATCATACTTAAATTATGATATTTATGCTAATTGAATATCTCACACATACATGATAAATTATTCAATTATTATTAGACATTTTTGGTTCACAATATAACTTTTTTTTTTGTGTGTGTATATTTACAACTATTCATTAATGACATAGATAAGTTAATCACATAAAATTTATCTTTTATTTAAATCTTTGTTAAACACAACATCAATTGGAATATACATTAAGTTTTACAACTTATTGAGATTAATGTATATAATTAAAGGAAACAACATATTTTAAGTAGGGTTAACTTCAACAACAAAAAAAAAGAAGTAGGGTTAACTTATCCATGTAATGGGCTCTCCAAATACATACACAAACTTTTTCAAATTTTTGAGTAAAAATATTTAATAAAAACACTTTATCATATGTATGTTCATTAATTATAAAAAGATTTCTGCCTTTTTTTTACATTCTTTTTTTTTCAATCATCATTTTTCCTCTAATTGATCGATCACATTTAACTTTTACCAAATTTATTCAATAATTTTAATTGGTATCTCTTTTTCGAGTTTATAGCAAATGAAATAGAATGTTTTGAAGAAGTGGATTCACAATTTCGAAAATAAAAAGTAAGTTTACATCAAGTGGGGCTGTTGGAAAATTTTGAATCTATAAATTATCATTGTTGTAAAATGAGTTTGTCAGATTTATTGATGTTTTGACAAATTAATGATTGAAGATTTTTTTAATGATCTTTGATACTTATGTTTCAAATTTGAGCCTTTATTTGAAGTGATTTAGGTGTTGAATTATTAAAATATAAAGAACAAATTGTTGTTTCTACAAAAAAAAAAAACTATAATTATTTAGCTGAACTTCATGTCAAAACAACTTAAATGTTGTTATATATATGCCTGAATTTCATGCCAAAACCTGTGAATGTAGCTATTGTAAAAAATTCTGAACTTTGTCCTTGTCATGGTCACAATTTAATTCTAGTAAAAAATGATCAAAATTATCCTTTACAAGATACTACACAATTGAAGTGCATCTAACATATATTTAAAATTAACCTAGGTAAGCAAGATTAAACTTGTGAAAAAAATATCATGATTTTAAGGAAGACAAATTAGTCCAGATATATTATTATTTTCATTAGTAACAAATAAAATAAAATAGTTATTAAAAAAACTTTAAAATAAAGAAGATAGTCGTAATATTACAAATATGAGGGATGTCCATGAACAAACCAAGACGTGAAGAAAAGTCGTTAGAACTTCTCCAAAAAATATTCAACTTCAACTTCAGCTTAAACAACAATCCTAAATTCGAGTGTTTATGTCCTTCGACCATTTCACGGGGGTTCATTTACACAATCGCTCATATTTCGTGTCGATCTTTAATTTTTCCCTTTCAAAAACCTACGATAAAAATTAAAATTTTCCCCGAAATAGAGACAATCCGTGCAAAAACTTGATTTCATGTTGTCCCTTTGGAGTTGGGCCAATGAAGTATTTCGTGGAAGCCCAAATTAAAAGGGTTTTCACAAGCCCAGATTTATTTTACTTCATAAACCCTAATCGCACTCTTCCGCCTCTCACTCTCCCATTTTCGCTCTGAGAATCAGCAAAAATGCAGAAGCAAGAAGCAGCCGCAGCTACGGTGGAATCCGTCCAATGCTTCGGGAGGAAGAAGACGGCAGTGGCGGTGACTCACTGCAAGCGTGGACGTGGTTTGATCAAGATTAACGGTGTCCCAATCGAGCTTGTCCAGCCGGAGATCCTCCGGTACAAGGCCTTTGAACCAATCCTTCTCTTAGGCCGTCACCGTTTCGCTGGAGTCGATATGCGTATCCGTGTGAAGGGAGGTGGTCACACTTCTCAGATCTACGCTATCCGTCAGTCTATTGCAAAGGCACTTGTTGCGTTTTACCAGAAGTTTGTGGATGAGCAGCAGAAGAAGGAGATTAAGGATATTCTCATTCGCTATGATAGGACTCTTCTTGTTGCTGATCCTAGGCGTTGTGAGCCTAAGAAGTTTGGTGGTCGTGGTGCTCGTTCTAGGTTCCAGAAATCTTACCGTTGATTTCAATCTTCAATACTCTGGATTACCATTTACGGTAATTGAATTAATGTTTTTGTTAGTGTCCTTTCGGTGTTTTGCTTAAAGACCATATTTGGTTTTGGGAGGCTTCTAGTTAATTTTTGCCATGTCTGTTTTTTCTTGCTGAAACTTTTACAGTGCTATGATATTGTTAGTTTCAAATTCCCAATTTGCTTTCTTGTTTGCAAGATTTACTTACTTGCTGCTGATGTTGTACTCAATTTACAATTGCTTCATTATTATCATTGTTCATGTGATGGTTGGTGGTTGACCACTGAAAATGTAGGAGACCAACCCTAATTTTATGTGGCTTAAACTAGAAATCAGCCAATTTCAGTTCCGAAGTTCGGGTTTTCTAGTTTCCAACCTCCTGAGTCCTGGCCTTTGGCTAGAAGATTGTCAATTAAGTTGAGTTCCAATTGCAATCAGAGTATCCTAACTTTCAGACATTGAGTTTGAAGTTAAGTTTGGCTTGTCCAATGTCAGACCTTTGGTCTTGGAAGGTTAACTTTGTTGAATGTCTGAAGTTTGAACTGCACAAACAATATGCCTACTTCAGACATTTGGGTTCATTGTTAGGCTTGGCTTGTCACCAACTTCATACGTTTGGGGTGGAAGATTGCCATGCCTAAAAATTAGACTCAATTGTTTGATCGGCACACACATTTGCCAACTTAAGATTATCGGTGTGTTAAATTCCTCAACTTCAAGCATGTCTGTTTGAACTTTAGAACTTTAGGTATGTATATTTGATATTTGGAACTATGAACTCATTATTTCACTTAAGTTTTGTAAATCTAAGTTGACTTTTAGGCAATTAAACCTTGTAAGAATGTTGTGTTTCCGCTAGTTCTTGAATAAGCGTCCTAAATATGTTTATTTTCTAATTAGGGCTTTCAAATAAATTAGCTTTCCCATGTGTATATTTATGGTTCAGTTTGTTCAAAATATGCATGAATACACGATTGATCATATCTCATGTGTAAACTATATTGGACAAATACACATGAATCAGTAATAGGCATTGCATTGTATCAACACAAATGACAATCAGTGTATGGAATTCGGAGAATATAACATGATACAATACATTGTCAAGAATAACGTAACGATTAAGATGCCAAGGAAAAGCGAAAATAAAATAAAATGTGGTAGTGACCTATAGGTAAATATCATGCGGTTGGAAGCTGCGAGATTAGTATTTAGTTGGATGGAGGAGGTGAATTTGTAGGAATAATATTTGGAATTGTTGGAATATTTGGAAGGGATGGCATGTTGGGCAGAGGAATGCTGGCAGGCATTGGTGGTAGAGTCATCTTAGGCACAGAGGGCAATGTAGGGAAAGAAGGTAAAGGTGTATTAGCTGTTGGAAGTGTTGGCAATGGTGGCAATGTGACTGTTGTTGGCAAGTTTGGAATAGTGGGCAATTTTGGCATTGTCGGTTGAGGCAGTGAAGGGATTGTAGGCAAGTTAGGAAATTGCAGTAGGCTACGAGCAGCATGACTTGTAGTGATGCTTGATATGGCCAATAATGCTATCATCAACAAGAGGATTGAGCAGTTGTTGGAAGCGGCCATTGTTATGTAATAAATTTGCTAGATTGTTTTGATTAAAAGGAAGTTTTAAGTGTTTTGATTTGACTTGATGAGATTGTCATCAATAAAGGATATATATACAGGGAAACTTCTTGAGGGGTACTCGGAATTGGTGAGATGTTGGGTGAGGAAGCTTGGACTTTTAATTATGAATACTGTGTTGTTAGTTAACCTTCCCAAATGTTGTTTTTAGGAACATTCATTTGATCTTATTAATAGAGATGTTTTCTGAAAGTAGTTATGCACAGATGGAGTTTGGATCAACCATATGTGGTGGACAATTCATTCAAATTGATTAAATCATTTATTTAATTTTTTTTCAAAAAACTAATACCATTCTCCATTGGTGACATCAATTGTCTAAAGATAATTACATCAATTCCAGTGGAGACAAATATTAGGAGATTCTTTCCATTTGTTCTAGCATTGATGGATTGAGTTACTTGGTATTTGCTGGTGGGGTGATATGAATCTCGTGAAATTAGTTGAGATGCATGAAAGTTGGTTTGGACACATTAAAAAAGAAAAAGATAATTACATCTAGGAAGTTGAACCAACAATTAAACATCTAATATATTTCAACCACTTTCTCTATATATAACCCTTTTACTAAATGAACAATCTCCACTCAAATTAAAACACAAATTCCATTTCTTCATTACCTTGAAGCAAAGTAATATTTGTCAAATTGACACAATGGCTACTTTGAACAATGGCTCAATCCTCTTATTGATGATAGCATTGTTGTCCATATCAAGCATCACCACAAGTCATGCTGCTCGTAGCCTACTTCAACTTCCCAACTTGCCTACAGTCCCCTCATTGCCTCAGCCAACAGTGCCACAACTCCCTGCTATTCCAAACATGCCAACATCAGTCACATTGCCACCATTGCCAAGTGTTGTATCGTTGCCAACGCTTCCAACAGCTTCTCCATTGCCTACATTGCCCTCTGTTCCGAAGATGACTCTGCCTACATTGCCCTCTGTTCCGAAGATGACTCTGCCTACATTGCCCTCTGTTCCGAAGATGACTCTGCCTACATTGCCCTCTGTTCCGAAGATGACTCTGCCTACATTGCCCTCTGTTCCGAAGATGACTCTGCCTACATTGCCCTCTGTTCCGAAGATGACTCTGCCTACATTGCCCTCTGTTCCGAAGATGACTCTGCCTACATTGCCCTCTGTTCCGAAGATGACTCTGCCTACATTGCCCTCTGTTCCGAAGATGACTCTGCCTACATTGCCCTCTGTTCCGAAGATGACTCTGCCTACATTGCCCTCTGTTCCGAAGATGACTCTGCCTACATTGCCCTCTGTTCCGAAGATGACTCTGCCTACATTGCCCTCTGTTCCGAAGATGACTCTGCCTACATTGCCCTCTGTTCCGAAGATGACTCTGCCTACATTGCCCTCTGTTCCGAAGATGACTCTGCCTACATTGCCCTCTGTTCCGAAGATGACTCTGCCTACATTGCCCTCTGTTCCGAAGATGACTCTGCCTACATTGCCCTCTGTTCCGAAGATGACTCTGCCTCCATTGCCCGCTAATATTCCTCTGCCCAGCATGCCTTCATTTCCAAACATTCCTACACTTTCACCTCCTCCATCCAACTGATCTTGCAGCTTCCAACATTTTACCTGCCTTGCCCATATGGTCGTTACCATTTGATGTTTTGCTCTTTCGTTGTCTCAATCTTTTTGATTCGTATCGTTGTATCCTATTGTTTGTACCCTCTTTGAGTGTTCTGTATTGATTGTCCAGATAAACTTTGTATTAATTAGGGTGATGCAATATACTATTTTTGATTTATCCATGTTCATTCGTCCAATTTAATTTCCAGATAAGTAAAAAAAAAAACTAATATTGTTTGCAAAATTTTGACTGCAAGTTGCGTATAATTCAGATATCGTTGCCTTGGTCCTCAAAGAAAGTGATGTGATAGATGAAGAATGGTTCAAATGTGTGTAGAGAAACCTAACTAGGTAAAAAGAGCAAGTCGCATAAAATGATTATGAGATTAATAATAATGTTATAATGTCATGTGTTTGGATAGACTCTTTAAAACCTAACCATCATTAATTAACATATATTTTACTTCATTAAATCACTTGACGATTGTTAATTGTATTAATTTAGTATAAACACTTGATGTAGATAAGTTGTTACGATCAGAATGTTCACACAAAAATAAATTAAATGTGTAACATGTGTTTGTTAGACATTTACACCAATTAATCATTGATTAGTTACTGGTATTAAATAGTTCAACCATAGTAAATTAAGTTGGTTCGATGTAAAAACTCAAATGTAAATACATATATACGATACTGAATTAAGTAGAAATATATTCAAAAAGACATGACCCTTGCATCTTTTTGTGCTCTTTCAATTTTTCGATTTAATATTTTTTTTCTTTTTCTTTTCATTGCATCACTTCACCTAATGAAACGTATGATTATATTTGAATAAGTTGTTAAAATCTTTGTCGTTCTAATATTCCAGTTAAGCTTCCATTTTAATTCTCTTTTTTAAAATTCAAAATTATGGCATACGAGATTTGTTAAAGAATGCAAGCTGAAGAATATTGGCGTTATGATGGATTTGTTCACTGGTATATCATGAAGCTGTTTAAAATGGCTTAATACATAATCAATCTTCAAACTTGTAAGAATATTCTATTTAGACACTCAGAATTAAGTTTTTCTTCAATTGAACACCTTAAACCATAACTAAATGTTCCAATCAAGAATCTGTTAGGTAACTAGGCTGACCACATAAAATGTCATTTCTTTTAATTATACACATATAAATCAAAATATCTCAAACGTTTTCTATTTGAGTTCAACTGTTAGGTAACTAGCCCGTTTGGATTGACTTAAAAAAGTAGCTTTTAAGTCAAAAATAAAAAGTCAAACTGAAATGACTTTTAAATTAAAAAATAAAAAGTAGGGGGAGACTTACTTTTGGTTTCTTAACTTATTTTAAGTTATTTTTTACATTTGTCAAACACTTCCAAAAGTCAAAATTTGACTTAAAAGTAGGTTTGACCAACTTTTAAGCCAATCCAAATGGGCTCAAGCTGACCACATAAAATATGTCATCTCTTTTAATTATACACATATAAACCATAAAATCTCAAACGTTTTCTATTTGAGTTCAACACATAATTAAAAGAGATGACATATTTTATATAATTAACTTATTACCTGTGTAACTCTTGAGAATGCACATAATTTTTTTACAAAATTTGAACCGAAACTAGAACACTTTATTAGTTGTTGAGTGTCAAATTGAAACATAACTTAGTTCGAGTGTCTAAATAAAATTAGTAAAATTACCCGCGTTTTGCGCAGAAATTTAATATCATGGAATTTATATAATAATAGTTAAACCTATCAGTCATTAATAATGTAAAGGAAAATAAAAATTATTATATCTTATCATTTATTCTTAATAACATAAGCATAACTTAATGACGGTAAGAATACATACCAGGATCTATAACATATGTAATGATGTCAGTGAGCCACTCAACAGGAGCAAAGTACACAAATATTTAATTGTGAAGAAGAAGAAGAAGAGGAGGAGGTTCAGAATTTTCGTTATTTTAAAATGAGAGGAAATCCCTCTATTTATAGACAATAAAGGGTAGTGTGAACAAATGTAAAAGGATATAACTATTTGGAAAAGTTGCAACCCTTCGAAAAGATCACAACCTTTCATAAAAGTCAAAACTTTTCATAAAAGTTGTAGCTTTTCATAAAAGTTATAACTTTTCATAAAAGTTGTAGCTTTTCATAAAAGTCATAACTTTTCATAAAAGATACAACTCTTAATTAAAGTTGCAACTTTTCATGAAAGGGGAATGATAGTTTTGTAAATAAATAAATTAAAAGAGAATTCTGATTTGTGGTGGCGCCACGTAGGCGGGCCTAAGATTCTCTTATATATATATATATATGATGATATATGGTGTAAATTTTAGGTTTAGCAAACATAAAAATCATATTTGTATACTATAGTTTGTATAATTGCGCTCAATAGCAAACTTTATGTTTGCTATGGAGCATCAGATTTGTATAAATTGCCGACAGCCTCTCATTTGTATAAATTGTTGGCAACCTCTCATTTGTATAAATCGCTGGCAACCTCTCGTTTGTATAAATCGTTGGCAGTTTCTCAATTCAATTGTATATACGTAACTACTATGTATATGTACCAATGATTGTGTTTGTATATCTGCATAAAATTTGAATTTGTATACAATTGAATCAAAATAAAACATTTGTATATCAAATCTCTCTTTTATACAACACAAATTATACATTGTAATTTGTATAATTTGTGTTTGTATAAAGTGAGAAAGAGAGAAAATGCATTTTATTATAAGTGTTTGTTTGTATAAAGCGAGAAAGAGAAAAAGAGAAAAAGAGAAAAAGAGAACTGGTAGGGAAAGATCTGTATTTGTATAATTATAAGTGTATAGGACGAAAATATATGTATTTTATAAAATAAAAAAAAAGACTTAGAGAGAGATTTTAGGAGAAATTGAAAGAAACTGGGAGAGAAAAGATAGCGAAGGGATTTGTATAAAAATAAATCTTCCATTTTATAAAATGTGTGGGCCCCAACTGATTAAAATAAAACTAATATGGAGAGAGATTTTAGGAGAAATTGAAAGAAAATGGGAGACAAAAAATAGTGAAGAAATTTGTATAAAATAGATCTTCCGTTTTTTTAAAAAAAATCGTGGGTCCCAACTGAATGGCAAAAATGGTGTAACATTAGCTGCACATTTACTGCGAAATACAAATATATGAAATAGTAGCTATAGGATTTATTTTGATTTAAATATTTGCTATTATATACAATTTTCCCTATATGATATCCAGACAAATTTAAAAAGCTGTCATATAAACTTGGATTGAAGTAAAGCTATGATCCCACTATCCAAGTGTTGAAGAATGGGGCCTCACACAACTATTGTTGGTTGAGCCTCTACCATTGTAAAATTTTTCGTTCAATTGAACTAAAAAATGGGTGAAGGAACACCTACTATGATACGTACTGGTAAGACGATAAAAGAAAGAAAAACGAATTCTAATAGCCACTTTGTCCATCTGATTAAAAATATCAAACAGAAAATTCTAAAATGGCCGCTTTAACAAGGATGAGCCTTGTAGTGTAATTTATGTCTACTTTCTCGTCGTGTAATTTGACAATGTAGATGTTGACACAAACACTCCTAACAAAATTGTCAAGACATCAGAGTACAAGCAAACCTGGGAGGAAAAGATAAAAAACAACATGTTCTACGTTGGAGATAGAAATGGCTTCGTAGAGCTCGTTCCTTCCAACCCGAGGTCCAAGGGCCGCAAACATGGAGGAGAATAAGCATCAAGAGCCTTCTGGACATTCTCCTCCTCCAATCTATCCTTCTTGTCAAGATCATCATTATTTTTGGCATCCTGATGAAAAATACCATAACATCAGCTGAAAAACCAAATAAACTCACAAGAGGATTTTTCCATGAAACAAAGCAAGAGTTGTCGTGAGGACCAACAACATCGAGCTGATCACAATCCTAGCGACTCTTGGTCAACATTCGCCAAAATGACATCCAACATCAAAACTTTATGATAACTGATACAACTTAGCCTTAATTGAACATTTGTGCATTTTTTTAAAAAATAATAAGATAAAACATAAATAGAGACAACTAGTGTAGACGTCACAAATGATTTTTCCTTGTTATGCAAATTTTCGCTTCACTTAGGGGAACATGCAGTCCTCCCAAAGCAGCCCAACATACTTTGCTCATTTTTGAGGGGCAACACACAAATACATCGTTTGGTAATTTTTTTCTAGTCAAAGAAGAAGCGGTTTGTGATCAGTTAGAAAAATCATTTTTCCAAATGTGATCTGCATCCTTGATGAACAGAATTCTCTACAAGGTCTAAATCATTTTTCCGGTCATGATTCACATTTTTAATGAACATAACTTCCCCACAAGCTCCAGCTAGAAATAGATGGAATAGGATGATAGAACGTATAGCTCAATGCTGACCCACAAATACAACCAAATTTACATTGCAGTGGAGTTCTTTATGCGACTTTCATCGGCTTCCCTGGAGTTCTCCTTTGAGAAGGGGAGGGGAAAGGAATTTCTGGAAGGTATCAATGAAAATAGTAATTACCTGAACTGAAACTTGGTTGAAAGTAGGAAGAAATCGAATCTTGCAATATTCGTTAAAGAGAATAGTGATGACCATGAGAGGGATAACGGAGAACGAAGCTGAAGGCTTGGCTTTCAATCCAAAAAGACCGATCATTGTGACTTGCATAAGTATGATCGCAACTATAATGTAGTGATGAATGTATGGCCAATACAGACCACATGTCTCGTATGTAGTTATATACACATCTTCAATCTGCATCACAAATAACATTTCATTATACTTTATCCTCCATATTTATTCTAAAATATTTGAGCTAACCTGCAATACAGAAGCACCAGATAAAGTCCATAAAATATATACTTCATATCAACAGGATACTTAAACCCTGGTGATAACAATGTAGTTTAAGGTGTAAAAAAACCAATGTAATAACAGCTAATAAGAAAACTTAACTTGTAGCAATCCCCTTAACAGAAGCAAACTAGTTACTGACGATAAGAACTACCACCATTTAGCGAAATTAAAAAGCATGAAAAACCCAGACAGTGAATATCAAGGGCTTGTAACAGTCTTGAAAAGGAAGTCCAATAAAACACAAAAAAGTTGATCTGCTTCATGTAAGTATGTATCAGTGGTGC